AACGCGGTAATAAATCGACAATAATAATGATCATCAAGAAATTATTTTTTATATGGTTCCTTACTTCTGTATTTCATTTTTTACCGATTTAGATATGTCTTATTTGAGCCGGATGTTTCGAAAGTGTCTCTCTACCTTTAACACAAGATAGGAATAAAATTGTGTACACATCACCCTCCCAGACACCAATTGTGAGAGGTTTCCCATACTCACAACTTTTTTAATCTTAGCATATCCCTCAACATGAAGAAATCTAAAGATTACTAGACAAGAATGCACAATCCATTAAAATAAAACTAAATGCAAAGGTATCAAAGATTAGAATTACTTGTGAAACAATTTGGACACAACACAAAATCTTGTCACTTTGGACAAAGAATCTTTAGCACAAAGACAAAAACCTCACTTCTTTCATAACACACATATTGTGTTTGATTGATTAATTAATCTCTAAATATGAATCCCAATATGGATATCTTTGCCAAGATTTTGCACTTCAAAAATCACATTGTCACATTGATTTCCTTATCAATTTTCATAACTTTTTTTTTAATGTTGGCACCTAATATTCTTACTTATTTCTGGCCTCTTTTGCTATCCACAACTCTACTTTTGGTCACAATTCTTGCCTTCAACAATGTACCACCGTTAGCTGTTGAATTCTCCAATGTAAAAGAAAGTGAAGGATCATTACTTGATTTTCTTGCAGGGCACCAACACCAGGAGCAACTTGAAGAGTTCTAATATTTGGTCGCCCGCAACGGTTCTCAAGCCCCTAAGGGTTCGGGAGAATCTAGTAGCTTAGGTCAAAACTCTGTATTTATGTTAATAAATCTACTTAAACTAATGTGTAAATAGTTTATCCAGGACCTTGGAAACGGTGTTTCTTAAAATTCTGGATCCGCCTCTGCTTCTGGTGGAAAGTTTATGGGAAACAATTGATAAATGTACATTCTTGTGCATGTTTAAAGAACTACTAAGATGATATTGGTAATGTAACATGTCTCAATTTGTTCAAATTTTACATGCCTTAAACTTACATTCTTCTCAATAGTCTTGAAGAAAATTAGTTTATAGACGATGTGAAATAACAACGATAACTATGCCTCAATTTTAAACAAGTTTGTGTCGACTATATGATTCCTTACTAGCCATGTTTCAATCTGTTTAAATCATGGCTTAACTTACATTCTCCCAATGGTTCAAAATTGTGACAAGTTCTTGAATCTTGAATGTATCTATGATCCTTTTTTCCAAACATCAAGTGCATAGGATTGAAAGTTTGCAAAATTTTCTACGCAATTTCCACAGTTCTATCATCTATGCATAAAATGTTTAGAGGGATGTTATCAGCTTTTGGATCGAGACGACGACTGCCAAAGTGCAATATCATTTTCAGTCAATGTGCCTGAATGATCAACATCAAGCAATTTGAAACTGTCCATGACTATTGAGATGTCTTCCTCAGTTATCTTCCCCAACTCTTTAAGTTTATACACAATGAATTCTGCAGCGCTGGATGAAGACAAATGAAAATGATAATTAGAATGTAGCACAAAAACTTGAACGCGATATAACAATAACAACTATGCCTCAGTTCTAAGCAAGTTGTTGTTGGAAAGCATAGGAAGGTAAATGTATTAAAAGGACATTCCGGTGCACTAAGCTCCTGATAAGTGTGGGTCCCAAGAAGGGCCGGACCACATTAGATCTAATGTACGCAACCTTACCTTGCAGTTTTGCAAGAGGTTGTGTTCGCCACTTGAACTTGTGACCACATGGTCACATGACAACCCTGTTTCTATTGCACCAATGCTCCCCTTCGTAAACGTACTAACATGAGTAAAACATATTCCCAACTAATTGTTATTGCATATATAACGTTTTATTTCGTTGTGCTCTATGTCTGTAGCACGTTAACGACTTACCTCACTTCACTGTCATGATCAAGATCTGCAGCCTGGAGGTCTGAATTTGTCAACTCGCGAGTTAGAGCCCATTTGAACATAGATTTTCGCCTTTGTTCTGTATATAACTCAGCAAGGGAGTAAAATAACTGTCCCAAACAAATTGTGCTCATCAATATCCAAAAAGAAGCGAATAAACGCCCCCATTTCGTCGAGAAACTCTTATCTCCATACCCCAGAGTAGTAATAGTAGCACAAACACAATAAAAAGCATCACACAAACTCAAATCCTCAACTTGGCATAGAAAATTGTTCCAAGCATAGTAAGTACAACAAGAAGTGCCACAGTACTTAAAAACTTGTACTTTTCGATGTTCGTTTCTACCTCTTTCAAAACCTCTGTTGAACTAGTACTATCTTTCCTCATCTTTATGGCTTTGAGAAACATGATTTGTTGCCTCTCAAGAAAGCTATCTGCTGCTTTACTCAGAACAAATCCAACAAGAGCCATACCGGTGAACACAAAAACACACGCGAGAAACTTAGCTAAGATGCTTTTAGGAACAAGATCACCATATCCAACAGTAGTCATTGTAACAATACACAAGTATATTGCATCAAGAATCCCATTAGTCTTTTTTCCCTCGATTTGATCGCTTATGATGAAGAAGCAAATCGCTCCGACTCCTATATAGACAGCCAAAAACAATAGTACATCTCTGAGTCTAAAACTCTTTGTTGAAATGAACTCAGGGTAATGAAGGGATTCCTCATTATTTCTCTGTATATGACTAATAGTACAACAAGTGCTGCTAGATTGAGACCGCCTTCGCTTGAATGAGTTTACATCACTAAATCGAATCGATGAATTTGCATTGCCTCGTAGTAGAGGTTCTTCAACATCGCCATTCGCCATGACAGCTCAAAAAACATGCTTTTAACTACCAAAACCAAACTGCAATCAAGATAATGTACATCAATAATAATAACAACATACCACTGAAATCCCACAACTGGAGTCTGGGAAGGGTAGTGTGTACGCAGACCTTACCCCCCTCTTGGAACATAAAGAGGTTGTTTCCAATAGTCCCTCGGCTCATCTCAACTATTCCTATGCATATGATTGTAATCTTTCTAAGCTTTTCAAATATTTAAGTTTCAATCATTTGTTTTCTTAATTAGAATATAGTTCAAACTATTGTTAATGAGATATATAACCTTGTACAATGCATAACAACCATGGGCGGAGCTAGGGTACCAGAAGGGGGTTTCGAATAGGGTTCATCCAAGCCCCCTTCGTTGAAAGATTTATTATATACAAGGTTAAAATTATTATTTTTAGTTAATGTTGAATCCAATTGACTACTTCGTTAATTTACTTCTTTATATTTTGGATTCTCTAAGTGAAAATAATGGTTCCACCATGTTAAGTTTCAATCTTTTGCAACATTGGCTTCAACCATAAAAGTTAGAAAAATGGGAATTGCATACACATATAACTCTTTATGGTCACTTGTTTCAACAATCCAGTCAAAAAACACCATAAATACTAAAGGTGGCGAAATCGGGATTTTCAATTAGGTGAGTCAAAATATAAAGAAATAAACACACGATGAACAGAAATCAAGAAATCAACATTAATGAGAGAAATCCTATGAGTATGCAAATCCAACAACTTTGAATTATGTTAAATCCAACTTCAAAACAATAAACAAATATGTAATAAAGAAAATCTAGAGAAAATTTCCAAAAAAAATATATAAGGTGGAGAATGTTATATTACCTTATGTTAAAAATACTATCATATTCAGCAAATAGACTCTTTTCAAATCCATGCAATCTTTTTCTTTTGGATGAAAACAGAAAGAAATAAAAAAAAAATCAGAAGGAAAAAAGAATAATGAGCATGAAAAAAAAAAGTTTTTTTAGTTACGGCTACAAAAAGGGGTTTATGATTAGAGGATAAAAATGACATGTAATTGTGAATCACAAATAAATTAATGTTGTCCACTCACCTTACAAAATTTATTGGAGGCTTTCAATTGATTCTAATTTTTCAACAATAATATATGGTTACTCTATTTTCACCTGGCTTAATTTTAATTAACTTACCATATTTATCATTCAATCTGATTTTTTGCATGATTATTGTTTCTTTTCTTTCCATATCATGTGTTAGTTACTTTACGAGTGCCTATTAGAACAACGTCTCTACCCCACACAAGTAGAAGTAAGATCATGTGTTATTTTTCAGAGATTTGTATCATTATCTGATTGCCTTACAGTGCTGTTAAAATGTAATCTGTTGAAATACTTTAAGCCTATGTTGCTCAAGACTCTATGAAAATGTCGACAAGTCGTGTTGGTCTCTTTAAATGTAGTGCATTTTTGGAGAATTCGACACGGGTGTTGCAACATTTTGAGACTCCATCAACATAGCTTTAAACATAAGTCCCTTGTAGGAGAAACAGAATTTTGTCTCTAACAAGTAACAACACTCTTTAGTCACACGAAATTAAGGAAATAAACGCGAGGGGCGTTATGTATAAACACAAACTTGATGTTCATTTCCTGTACAGAGTACCCAAACAAATGAGTGAGAGCATTACTTCAGCTGAGACTAGAGCTAGATTGATGTAAATCCACTTACTGTATCGTCCCAAAACAGGACAACGTTCATCATGAATGACAGTGAAGGTATCTCGAGGAAAGAGTCGCTACCTCCCAAGGTAGGGTAAGGTCTGTGTACACTCTATCCTCCTCAGACCCCACTTGTGGGATTACACTGGATATGTTGTTGTTATATTCACTCTTTGTTTTCTTGGACTGAAAATGTCCATATATCTATGTGGCATTGCTAAGTTCAACTTCGCCAATTGCACATTTCTGGTCTCCCTTGTCCGAAATCAATGGATTACAGAGGATAGGGACCAACCGCGAGAAAAGTAAGAGAAAGTACATAAGCAGTTCGAGAGTAAGCATAATGTCCTTTACAGCAGCAACAACAGATACAAACTAGTAGCAAGCAAATGCCATATGATACAAACCAGAAAACAGCAATGATGAAGAGAGAAAAGATTTTCATCGATCAGCAGGCAAACTCATGGATGACATTTCATCTAATAACTGATCAACACAAGGAAACAATCCAATAGTAGGATTTAGGAGGTTCGAAAGGACATCAAACCAGGTATTGATAATGGCAGAGTGGCCTTACAGCCAAATAGCTGATAAGCAGCCAATATATTTCCATTTAACCGCATGAGAGTTTTGGTTGTTATATTTTGTTAACAAGATACCTTCCAAGGGAATCGATAGGCTTGGTAGAGTCAGAATTTTGCATTCCCCGTTGTCTAATTTTAATTCGAGCAATGTAATCTGCTGCAATCCAAGCAAAACTTAACATAACACCATTTGAAACAGCATCTGGCAATTGCAACTCTAGTGATCTAGTCACCCAATGAGGATGGTAGGTGACCCGATACCACGCAGATGCCTTTCTTTCATACATATCATTCTTCTCATCAACGGGAAGCATATCAAAATCAGGCTCCATCTGCTCAAAAACATTCCTGAACTCCTTCCTCAACGTATTATATGCATGCTTCAGCCTCTCTTTTAATTCCCCTTGCTTCTTAGCACTGTACTTCGGCATGGACCATATATGTCCAGTAACCACCTCTTCCTCCCCGTTAACTTTGTATTGTCCTAAAAGCCCATTCAACTGACCATCATAAGAACATTTGTGGTTCCATGCATCATCTATGAAATCTTCATATCCCAGAATCTCAATATTAGTGTCATATGGGATGTCTTTAGGGACAAACTCAAGTCCAGAAGATTCTCCACCCTCTGCATCATATACATCTATAACTTGCCTATATAATTTGCCCAAAATTTTCTTTGACTCGTATGTTTGAAACGGCTCTTTCCCCATGAAGTCTGGATACATTTTTGGTTTGAGGTCAAATGGCATGGTGACAAGTTTTCCAGTTTTGGGGAAATCAACGGCTAGAGCAGCAAGTTCTGCCAATTTAAGGCACTTCTCATCCAAAGCTCCAAATTCACTGAGGTCAGCATGAACCACATGTGCGTTGCAGATTTCTCCTAGACTCTCTTGGACCATGTTCTTTGAGAAAAAATCTATTATGTCCTGTAAAAAAAGAAGGCAATAGTTAAAAAACTGAAAAAATAAACAGTACACCGGAAAAATAAAATACAAAAGAATATTATGCAACTAGTTGAATGATCCAACAAATAATAAGTGTCATAAAGAAGACCTAAATTCCTAATCGAGTGCAAGAAGAGCACAAGATCTATTGTAAGTGTCTTTAAATTTTTCTTTTTATTATAGTGAGTGTACCTACAGAAAAAGAGTCTCCTTCTTCTATTACAACCAAATACATTATGGATAAACCATACAACTTAAATATGGTCGAATGCAATTGGGATGCATTATACAAGAAAAGTGAACAATAAATGCAACAAAACTCAATACAGTTGTTAAATGATAGTTAACATTTGCTAAAGAACAAGTAATGCTAGCTTTTCAAGAAGGCATACAATTATCTCATCAGTATTCTAACCAAGTGAGCATTAAGCCGTAAAACAAACTTATACAGATCTGGAAAAGCTAACCAAATATAGGAAGATATGAACAAAGCTGCAAGAAATATCATTATAGTTGGATAGTTACCGTATGCTGAACTTGACGACCCAACTGTTTGGCTTCTGCAGGTGCATAGTCCATTGGCATCCAGCTTTTCTTACTGGGTGGAATGAGATTTTCATCCCAAGTCACAAAGTAGAGATCACCATCAAGGTCACTCCCTGATGCTTCATTTGAATGTGGCCTATCCCCTTTCTGAGGGAAGACCAGACAATCAAAGAGATGGTGTAAACCAGGAACATCTACAGCCTCCAGAATCCTCACATCCCCGGGATGAAGACACGGGTTCTTTGCAATTACAACAAGGCCCTTTATTACTTGAAGATTTTTCTTGATTTCAGAAAACTTTGGACCATGCTTAACAAAACAGGTCTCCAATGAAGGGCCTGACACTTGAATAAAGCATTGGCCTTGCTCAAGTTTACCTAATTCATCCAAACAGCCCATCAACCACCTTCCTGAAGGAACAAACATCCTTGCCTTATTCCTGAGGTCGCCGAGTTGAGCAGCTCTAATGCTAGCCAACATCCCTCTCAAATGAGGTTCACTTTGAGGTTTAAACCCTGCACTCAACATTATAGCCGCTGTATTTCCTGCCTCGGCACATGAAGCTGTAATTACATCAAAAGCCATGTCCGAATCCACAAGTATCTTATCCAACTTTGATAACATTTCTTTCTGCATTTCCCAAAACATTTCATCTTTAACTTCCAAGGACGAGAGCAAGGTTATTATTTGCCGGTTCAGAAAACCAGGCTGTAATCTCGTCCAAGAGCAGATTTCAAGGATAGTGTGATTTGAGTCAAATTTCTTCATACTTGGTCTCAGAGAAAGGCGGATACCATCTTTCTCTGCCGGCCAACATGCGACAACACCTTTACAACCAGCATACCTTATCTGATAAGCACAAGGAGGATTGACACTTAACTGCAACTTCGCTGCAACTTCTATAGATAGATCTGCTGACATCATGCCGATTCCATCAGAGAAAACATACCCATTTCTTTCTACATCTGGAAGCTCGGAGTTAACCTCGCTTGGAAGGACTTCCACTGTTGCATAGGTTGATGAAAAGCACTGTCCCATCCTAGCAGCACATTTTGCAACATTCCTGTTACCGAACTTACCCATCCAGTTTATGATGTTGGGCACCCTAATTTCCGGGGCTTCAGCAAAAAACCAGGCAGAACGATCCCTCAGCTGGTTAGCTGAGAAAGCCAAAAAAGAATACCTTCGACCACACAGATAAAATCCTTTACTCAGAATACTTTTCACCCTTTGGAAGATTCCAGTTCTCTGGGGATTAGAACTTGATGTAATTTCTCTCACAATAGTAGCAGCATAGTATGTCAGAACATTCCTGTTCAAGTTACGCATGCCCTCATCCATAAAAGTAACTCGCAAAAATCGATCTGAAACCTGCTTATACTTCCTGAGAACTCTATTGGATAGCTCAACAGTTGGCGGAAGACAGTATGCTTTGGTTGGGGTAATAACCAACCTTCTAACCTCTACAACATCATCCAACTGTCCAGTTCTCTCGAGAAGGTTAGGATTACTAAATAGCCATTTCTGGACACTTGCTAACTTCTGAATAGCATCATTGACAGGCCTTTTGTAAGAAAAGATGTGCTTCAGTGCAGCTAAATTTACCCCCTCCTGATGCTTTCTAAGCAAAGAAAAGAATTCAGCAGTCATCTGATGCTGATTAACTATGCCTTTGTGCAAAACCGCATTTACCAGAAACAAGACCTTAAAGCTTATACCTTCATGGTTTTGAAAGCAGAAGAAAGGTTCTGAGACGGACACCCCAAAATCAGGCTCATCTCTCACCCGGAGCATCTGCCTGTTACCCTGTTCTACCACAGGCACCCTACTTTCTCTGAAATAGTTCATGGCCTTCTTAAGGCTAGGACCATTGCGAGGTCGAATTGAAATACGGTAGGTATTAAACCTACCAATGGCTCCACTACATGTAATGTCTGTGGTTCGGATCCACTGATCATCGTCATCTAATAAGTCAAAAGCAACTGATTCTTCAATGTCATCATCAGCAGTTCTATAGAAAACCAATGGAGATGAAGCCAGCTGCAACAATAATACCAAAGATGCAAAGTCTTTGCATTCGTTAATCTCATTGATTTCCCTCAGCAAAAACTCAATCTTGAAATTGCATTTTATAACGGCATGTTTTCCTTCACCCTTGAAACAGAAAGCAGTATCCCTTGTGAAAAGTATTCTGCATGTCCCATTAAATGGATCCACAAGAAAGTTAACACCAGAATGAGGTCCCCTCCAACCAACCACAAAGTCATCATTACTAACCAGTACTCCAATTTCTACACCAACGTCCGAAAACTTAAAAGGCATGATAGTTCTTCTCCTCTTATTCATATTAAAGGGATTCTCAGGACCCAAACTAACCTTCAAAGGCTTCTCTTCTAAGAAGAGTTCATTACGCCTAGCAGCAGCAAGAGCATTCTGTGCGGACTCTGAAGATGCAAAATGAACGAATGCATGAGGTTCCACTTTTATGTAATTGTTCATTCTTCGCACGTTCTCTACATCAATGTCATAAGTCGGGTAAGAGTCAGGAGGAGTGGATGAAGTCTTTAATCTACACCTCCACACTTGTCCAACTTGTTCTTCCAGATATTCTGAAAGCACTTTCGCATTGACATCATTGCAGAACCCACCAACACTAATTTGAGTCACTACGAGATCCTTTTCAGAACCCTCTGATCCCATCTTTTTCTTGAAGGAGTCACGCAGACTTTTGGACTCACTTATTCACACAGCCTCCAAGTTCACCTGTTACCTGACCAAAAATTTGTGAATAAAACGAAACAACATAACAAATCTTATAGAATGGACAATGTATGAGGCAACAAAATATTTAACTATTTATAGAATATGATAGAGCATCAGGTTGCTAAGAAAAGCCATCCATGAGCTGGAAATCATAGTTCACAACCATACCAATCGAAATGTTGATTATTCATTTAGACCACATAGATAACCTTCTGAAACATCCTTAAGCTTTTCTACCTTCCAAGTGCAGAACAAATATTAAATAAACTAACCAATCAAGAACAAGAAGATGAAATATATGTACGCTGCATTTTAGTAATCAGACGGTGATGAGACACTGTGGAAGAGAGTGATCAAGAGGACAACATGAGCTAATAGATTCACTTATTTCCCAGTTGAGAATTTGAAAAACAGACATCTGTAGATCAGTATTTCTATCTTTAGGTATTAGTCATATTTTTGTCCAAAACTCCTATTCTTACATCTGATTATCAGATATGTGAAAACATCTAACAACTGGCCTTTGAATACTGTTTATCAGGCTTTGTGAAATTAAGACATTCAGATAGCAATAACATATAACTAGTCAAGCAATCTCAGAAAAGAGCTCTTAGCCTAAATTTGATTTTCTCTGAAGAAGAAAAGCCTATATAAACACACCACTTTATTTGCAGTATCATTCCATAACATGAAGTGAAGCAAGTACAAAAAAATATACTAGCCATTTCGCAAAAGAAAGATCTTTTGTGTCCTATAAGTAATTGTGTTCTAGCACCAGCTCTCTACTCCTCCAGAAGATACATCCCAAACAGCGAGTGAAAAATAGCTAATCAAACAAAATTATGCCTAATTCTTTTCCCAAAATCTCACCTCTTTTCCCTTGGTGAAGGACAAATCACCAATTGATGAGAATCTGGATCAGAACTTACAAAAAATGCAAAATGTAAGAAACTCAACAATAACATACCCAGTATGATTCCACAAGTGGGGTCCGGAGAGTAGAATGTACACAGACCTTACCACCCACGTTTGTGGGGGTAGATAGTTGTTTCCGATAGACCCTTGGCTCAACAAAAACTACTACAAAACAGGGTAGCAAGAACAATATGTAAGAAACTCAGCAAGAACACAACAACAACAACCATAGATGCAAATTTGGATCAATAACTTCAGCAAGATACAAACCTTAAGAACCCCAATTGAGAAAAAGGGAAAAATAACCCCACTTTCTGTAATTAAAGGAAAGAACCGTATAAACAATGCAGTAAACCACATCAACCATAGATAAAAATTTGGGTTCAAAACATCAAAGATACAAACTTTTAGAAACCAAATGGAGAAAAATACATAACAAGAGAACCCCACTTCCTGTAACTAAAGGAAAAAACTGTATAAACCAGTAAAGCAAATCAAGCATAGATGCAAATTTGGATCAAGAACTTCAACAAGATACAAACTTTAACAACCCAATTCAGAAAGATAGAAAAATAAAGAACCCCACTTTCTGTAATTAGGAAAAAACTGTACACTCAATGCAGTAAAGCAAATAAACCATAGATGCAAATGGGGTTCAAGAACTTCAACAAGATACAAACTTTAAGAAACCCAATTGAGAAAAATGGAAAAACAGTATAAACCATACAGTAAAGCAAATCACCCATAGATGCAAAATTGGATCAAGACACAAACTTTAAGATACCCAATTGAGAAAAACGGAAAACCTATATAAAAAATGCAGTAAAGCAAATCAACCATGATGCGAATTGAACAAGAACTTCAACAAGATACAAACTTTAAGAAACCCAATTGAGAAAAAAAAAACAGTATAAACCATACAGTAAAGCAAAATCACCCATAGATGCAAATTTGAATCAAGATACAAACTTTAAGATACCCAATTGAGAAAAACGGAAAACCCATATAGAAAAATGCAGTAAAGCAAATCAACCATGGATGCAAATTTTGATCAAGAACTTCAACAAGATGCAAACTTTAAGATACTCAATTGAGAAAAAAGGAAAAATAAGAGAACCCCACTAACCTTTCTGAACTTAGTGATCAAATACACAAATACAAGAAATCAGAACAAAAGGGAGTGTGTCTTTGCTTCTTCAAGAAGCACTTGCAGTTACAGGAAAGTGTACTAGGGGCCTGGGTAAGGGATTTCACGCGACAAGGATGCTACCATTTTATTTTATTTTATTTTATTTCATTTATATATTTTGTTGGGATCTCAAGGATTGCTTTCCCATGTTTCCTAATGTATTGAGTCGTATTGTATAGTATTTGGACAAATATAATATTTGAACAGATTGTATTATCTTTTGCAATTATATGGCATTAGAAAACTTGTTCATACTTCGCGCCGTAATAAAATTTAAAAAGAAAACAACAATTAAAGAAACTAAGAAAATGATAGACTTCATGCATTATTTATTTATTTTATTTCATTTATATTTTTCGGATCTAAATGGTTGTTTTCTAATGGTTCCTAATGTATTGAATCGTATTATCTTTGTTTGGATAAATATAATGTCTGGACAGATTGTATTATCTTTCGGAATTACATGAAACTAAGAAACTTGTCCACGTTTCACGTCGTATTAAACTTTAAAAAGAAAACAAAAAATTAAATAAATTAAGAGAATGATAGACTTCATTCATTATTTATTTATTTATGTATTTATATGTGCTTCGCGCGGAATTAAATATATTTTTTAATAAGTGATGTCGCTAATTGACTAGTTCTTAATAAGCAGTTTATAAAAAGAAAACAGTACAAATCGAGTCACGGTCTTAATATTATCTGTTCAGAAAATAGTTAGAAAGATATTTTCAAACTGTAATTTCCGCTTAATATTACCAATAAAAGAAACATAACAAAGTTAGTATGAAAAGTTTCAGTAAATTGACCATCTAATTACCGTAATTTTTTTTATTAAATTCAATGAATTTAATAACAATAATATTAGTTCAACCAAAATAACATTAAATTTAATTGATTATAAATTACATTGTTATAAATTCATTGAACTAAGTGGATTGACCATTGAGTTTATCCATAAACTTATACTTATCATCTATATGTATTCTGTAGGCTCTATGAACCTTTTTGGATAAGAATGTATCTATTTATTATGATACTTAATATGGTGACTTTTGGAGTGATTTTTCAACATATAGATAGGATTGTTCATTCACCGTTGTAAAAGACACGTGATGAGACAAGAAGACATTTGAATAAGATGATCTCTACATTTTATTCTCCATATATCTTGTCTATACTATGTATAGTATATTGCTTATATTTTACAACATACATGACTTTGTTTTTATGTAAACGACTTGATTTGTAATACATATAATTCAAAATATATTTATGATGCATAAAAGTTATAAAAATACTTAAATTATGTTTCAATATAGTTATACACGAAATTAAGAAGTTAGTGAGATCTTCTTGTGGTAAAGTCTCATCTTGTGTGTTGGTCAAAGTTACAATAGTAACATTGAACCCTCGAATATGTTCGAAGATCTCGAAATGATTTTCCAGTTCGGGGGAGAATTCACAAAATTCTGTTTCCACTTTTTGTTTGATTTTTTCTTATACTTTATTTTCCATATTGAATTCATCTAATGTGTACTTCATCGTATACGATTCATTAATATTAAAGGATCGCATATCTCAATTTTTATTTTTACATGCGTAATATTTATTGAGAAAAATATCTCATAAAATATTACATCGGAGATTATACTTTGCAATATAAAATAAAAGAATTGAAACACATAACATAAAATAAATGTATATTTGAAATAAGTCATGATGTCATAGTAATTTGATGCGTTACTTATCTACTCGATTATATAGAGATTAACATAAAGTGACAAATTATTAATTTTTTGAGAGTACATATAATCAAGTTATAAAAAGGTATACCAAGAGTTGAATAATATTTGAGAAAATTATCAAAATGGTCCTTGATGTATTGGAGTTACTTTATTTTGGTCTTTAATATATTCTAGGTGATTGAAATAGTCCTTTATGTATGACAAAATGTGTTCAATTTAGTCTTTTATCCTAAACTTAACAATTTATCCCTAAAAACTATTAAATATAACTGTGGGGCCCACATCTCTTACAAAATCCACCATTTTTACCATCTTTATTAGCTCAAAGAAAAAGTTTCATGAATTCTAAAACATCATTTTCTCTAACATCTAACCACACAATTACAAAATAATTATTGTAAAAAGGTTGAAACTCTTTCTTTGAGCTAATAAAGATGGTAAAAATGGTGGATTTTGTAAGATATGTGGGCCCCACAGTTATATTAAACAGTTTTTGGGAATAAATTGTTAAGTTTAGGGTAAAAGACTAAATTGAACACATTTTGTTATACATGAAGGACTATTTCAATCACCTAAAATATATTAAGGACCAAAATAAAGTAACCCAATACATCAAGGACCATTTTGATCATTTCTCAATAATATTTACACCTAACACATATAGAGCAGTTAAAGAGTTTTATAACGTTAATTGAATTGTTAAGATTAATTATTATTGTAGTCTTTACTTTAAAAAAAATGTGATAACAACTCTTTAAAAGATAACTCCTTCTTTAATGTGGAAAATCAAGATAAATAATTTTTTCTTTAAATAATTATAAGTTAAATACATATTAATTACATATATAGATTTATTATAGCAAAATTATAAAAATAACTTTTATTACATATGTACATTTCATTTACAAAGTCATAAAAAAAAATTATGTATTCGATCATAATATATATATATTTGTTATTGGAAAATTAAAATAAAGATTTTTGAAGTTTTTTTTTTACAATAATTAAGATATGTTAAAGGAATAATACATTTTAGTTTTAACATAATATATTTAATTAGATTAAGAGAGTAAAATGAGTTGACTTTTGAACTTTTATAATATGATATATATATGTTATTGGAAAAATAAAATAGAGATTTTTGAAGTTTTTTTTTCACAATAATTAAGATATGTTAAAGGAATAATACATTTTAGTTTTAACATAATATATTTAATTAGATTAAGAGAGTAAAATGAGTTGACTTTTGAACTTTTATAATATGACACATAAATATATAAGATTTTTTTCAATAAAGACTCAATATACTTGAAACTTATCTTTACCCAAGTGTCAAACCTCACTTCCACATTTATCTCATGCAACCCCACTGAATTTATATTCCACATATTCTATTTTAGTCATGCTCAACCTGAACCTTTAGGACTCGTTTGATAGGCGGTATTAAATAAAATAATTCATGGATTAAAATATAGTACATCTAATACATTGTTTTGTTACCTTATTTAATTTAATCCATGGATTGCTTATACACCATATGTGGTATTATTTTATCCCTAGAAAATGGAGGGATAACTAATCCAAGGTTTAACAAATCTTGGATAAGACCCCTAACTATTCCCTTATTCATTTTCCTAAATTTCTTTTGTAATTTGATTTCCTTTTTATTTATATCGGAATGGTTATAAATGTTCTTTTTAATTCTCCCAATCCGTTTAATATAATTTAATGATTTCACTAATATTTTTTTCTCCATTTTTTTGAATTTTTTTATTCAATGTAGTTTGTCGATTAACCATTTGAACGGTTTGTGTTTTTTTTTTTAAAAAAAAAAAAAACTTTAGATAGTGAACAATTTAAGTAGTCTTAAATCTATGTTAAGTTTAAGATATATTTGACCAACAAAAAATTAGAAATATATATATATATAACTTAACTAGTTAAAAAATTATCCGGCGGTTATCTACCTTGACTCAATTACGTGAAATAAACAATCTCATAATAACACAAGAGTTTATAATAGGAAATAATTTTTTTGTAGAGTTTTAAATCAAACACAAGATTAAGTGGGAAGCAATGAACCAAACACTTTGACAAAAATAATTCTTACACTACTAATTCTTGCATTGTCAATGTTTGTACCAAACGACCCCTTAGAGTCCAGGGTGACCGGCCGTCTCCACACCCCAACCTAGCATTAGCTTTTCAATTCCAAACCAAATCACTAATAAGTTTTTTTTCTCGATCTAACTCGAAAAAATAAGTTTGAACATGCACAATATATAAGTGTAGACACGTGATTATTGATTGAACCTAATGTTTTACACTATGTTAGTACTTAAATATTTTAATTGGATATTTTGATTTTATCTTATTTAGTAAGTTTGTTTTTCGAAGATTTGGAAAATACAAAAAATAGAGTCATATTTTAGGGTAAGTTTTGTTTTAAATTTTTTCAAAAGAAATGAAAACTCAAAAAAAATATGTTTTTTAAAACTTAAGTTTTAATAAATAAGCTAGTAATTTTAATATATTATCAATGATATTTTAATCTAATTATTTAATTTTTTTTAAATATTTTGTTTGCTTAAAATAGTCAGCCATTATTTTATTTTTAAAATTAAATTTTTTATTTTTTTTAAAAAATTAATAAAGCAAGAAGAAAAATTTAATTACCCCTCCCACTAATCCTAAAAACTCACAACCCAATAAACCCCCTGACATTCCCCCACTCACCAAACATCTAACTCAACAAAACACCCACACAGCCAACAAATAAGAAAAGAAAAAAAAACATACATTGAGAAAAAATGGTTAAGTTCGAAATTTGCTTTCATAGTTTTGAGTTCATGATTTTTTATTGTGATTTTTTTCTTTTTTGTGACTTAATTTTCACAAAAAATAACACTTAATCTTTATTGTATGACTTGATTTCACAATTATACAAGATCTAATTACAATGTTATGAAGTTATTCAAATTTTATATATGTTTGACTTTGATACTATAATATTATAATTTATATTTGAATGGTTGCACGGTTTGATTTCTCGAATGAATTTTAATTTTTAGATAATTTGTTATTATATCCCTATATATTAATCGGGTTATTCAGAGCATATTTAGGCTATTAAAAAAAATCATATACAAACATTAGGAATTAGAAATTTTTAAACATATCTTATATTTGTAAACTAAGATCATGTTTATGCGTTTACGATAAGGACATGAAAAATAGAATGTCAAGATCATAGTTATACGTCTGGGCCTAAGTATTTGTTAAAAATAATAATCTTTGATTTAAGCAAGCGACTAATTGCTTTTAACGTTAGACGAGTATAGACACATTTTAAAAATTGATTTCAATTAATAATATGGTTACACATCATATTTTTGTAACACTTAAAAAACATTCAAGGATGAAGTTACACACCTTGGCCAAACTATTTTCAATAATTAACCTTCATTAATTCAATCAGATGGGTACATAGAGATTATTAGGTGTGATGCACTCGCGTAAAGAAGACAATTATGCCTCTAAGCCTGTGTATGTCAAGACCAAGTATACAATGACGAATCTAGGCTGAGACCAATAAAAGTTCAATGATAAAAAATGTGTGTAAACCGTAGCATGTAATCATATATCCATAATAGTCTAAAATAAGTATATGTTGATAAACGCGATCGTGCTAAAACCACGGGATTCGAGGGGTGCGTCATACCTTCCCCTCAGTCAACAAAATTTCTAATATGTATTTCTTGTTCAAAGACAAATAAAAATAAAAAGTCAACTTTCTTTTGATTAGAGATTTAAACAAGGTGACTTGGAACACCATAACTCAATTCTAAGTGACGACTCTGAAAAATTAAAATAATCCTTATTTAATATGTTATTTAATTTGGAAAACCCCCATAAAAAAAGGGTATGATAATAAGTTTTTTTTTATTAAAAAAATAACATTATAATACATGATTTACTTTTGGGATATAACAAATTGTTACCATCATTTATTTTTATCTAACTCACAATTTCCAAAATTTAAATTATGAAACTAAAATAAATTTCAATATTTGGGCCTTAAAATAACAAATAAGCTAAACACCCTTTCTTCTTCCCCCCAATTTTTCTTTTTGAATTCAGACAGCTCCAAACTTCCATTATCACCCTCTCAAAAACAGCCAAGAAATGATCTTTTCTTAATTACAATCTTAAATTCAAACCTTTATCACTCCAAAAAGGTAAAAAAAAAAAAAAAACACAATCCAATCCCCAATGGCTTCAATCAAGCCATCGTATCTGTACGCCAACGCCGCCACTTCTTCCATAGATTCTCTCCGATCTTCTTCCAAATCCGATCCCTCATCCTCCACCGACCTATCCCCTCGCCCCCACAACCCCCACTCCTTGTCACGCGCTCTGACGCGCCCTCACGCGCCGTCCACCACACGTCACAACTTCGGGTCCTTGGTCAAGAAATTGGTGGAGCACAAATCTGGGCCATCGATTAAATCGAAGCCTAAGGGTGAGCTGAAATTGATTGTTCCGGTGGATTTCGTGGCGAAAAGGGGAAATGGATTGAGTGCTTTGCACAAGAAGTTGTTCAAGGGAGTAGTGAAAAGAGATGAAGGGAGTGAGAAGAAGAAGAAGGCTTTAACTGAAGTTAAAGCGAATACGAGGAGTTTAGCTATGGTGTTGAGAAGTGAGAGGGAGTTGTTGAGTATGAACAAGGAGCAAGAGAATGAGATTGATGAACTCAAATTGAATATTGAAGAGAAAAACAAAGAGGTATTTTCTTCAATTGTGTAATTTGCTTAATGCTAGAGTTTGATTAGAATCTATTTTAGAGGTGGCGGAGCTAGGAGTTCTATCGAGTTCATTCAAAAGTTTCAATTTGCAATCTATAGTAAGTCAAGGGGGCTCGAAAATTTATGTAATGTGATGCTTGAAGAGAAGTACATAGAGGTGTGACTATGAATTGTGTAATTTGTTTAATGCAAGAGTTTGATTAGATCCATTTTACTCTTGATTTGCCCCCTAGTACTTGATTTAGTGCTTAAGCATTGGCGTAGCTAGGAATTTTAATGAGGGCATTCGAAAGTTTCAATTTTGGGACCTTAAGTAAGTTGAGGGGGTTCAAAAGTTTATATATATACGAAAAAATTGATTTTGGACTATGATTTTCCAACAATTGAACCCCTTTATAGGTTGTGGCTCCGCCATTGTGCTCATGATTAGTGCTAAGTTTATTCAAAAGATTATATTTAGTAATAATTAACGAATTGGTGTTTGCTGAGCTCAAATTGATGCTTGAAGAGAAAAACAGAAAGGTTCGTTCTTGAATTGTGTAATTTGCTTAATACTAGAGTTCTATTAGAATCCATTGTAGTCCTAGTTTGCCCCCCTAATACTTGATTTAGTGCTTAAGCAGTGGCGTAGCTAGGATGTTTAACAAGTCCATTCAAAAACTTCAAACTCACAACCTAATGTAAGTTGAGGGGATTCAAAAGTTTATGTATATAGGAGAAAGTTGTTTTATCCTTATTTGGGCAGTAGGATTCTCCAATGATTGAACCCCTTCATTGGATGTGGCTCCGCCATTGTGCTTACAAATAGTGCTGAGTTTATGTAAACAATTGCTTTTAGTAATATTTGATGAATTGGTGTTTCCCAAATGTTTTGCTTCACAAATTTTGGAAAACAAATAACTGAATCCTGATACTGTTGAGTCCACTTGCCAGTAAAAGAAGCAATGAAAGTAAGTTCGATTTTTGACCCAAAACTGTTCTTTTTTAACAAAAGTTAGAGATTTGTACTTCATTCAGGGGTAAATGAGAGGTTAGAGAACCCTTTAAAGTATCAATTATTTAGTATTAGAATGAAATGGCCTTTTTAGAGTGGAATTGATGTAGAGGATCCATACAGCCGATCCAACTAATTTGAGATTGAGGTTTGATTGATAGCTTAAAATTTAACTCTGCCTCGTCATCCATTGATTGTGCACTCCTGCAAAGTTTATAAGGGAAGCTCGTGTGTTCGACATTTCTAAGTGGATGGTAACTTGCAGTGAAAAAGCTTGCCTAAAAGTTGCACCTTTTTAGATTATGTAAGGATTACAAGTCTGAGTAAACTTTCTAAAAGTAGTATTAGGTGATATGTTATACTGATAAATGATAATAGTAGATTGTAAATCTTTTGGTTCTTTAATGAAAGTAGTTTCGGTGTTAGAACAATGGGATCATAGAGATGTTGAGTTACTTAATGGCAACTAGTTTCGTTTTAGAGTAAGCTTCTGTGTGGTAGCTGTTAATTGTATACTGTGTGAATTTAGGAATGCTCTTACTGAAATGACACATTTGTTGTAAAAAATGTGGTGGATGATAGTACCTTCGATGGTACGTTGATTATATGGTGCTGTTTTATCTCATTTGCTATTTTAAAATGATGACAGGTTGAGAAGTTAAAGGATTTGTGTTTGAAGCAGAGGGAAGAGATAAAGTCGTTGAAAAATGCCGTACTATTCCCAGATGTTATGAATTCTCAACTTCAGGAACTTGTGGAGAAGCAGGGATCAGAACTCAAACAGGCAAACCAGCTTATACCAAGTCTACAAAAGCAAGTCACTTCTCTTACAGGACAACTACAATGCCTCGCCTATGATCTTGCTGAGGTAACCTTGAGAAAGTTGTTGCCAGTATCCACTTAATATGATTGAGGATTTATTAACAAATGCATAAGCTAGTTGTTTAATATTCTTAATATAAGACCATAAGTGCTTAGAAGAATTCATTTTCTTGAACTTGTGCAGAATTTTTGTCTATTAGTATCTGTCTGTCCTCTGACGGAGACATTTGTAATGTACCATAGGCGTAGTATTAAAAGAACTGCAGCATTCCTAAGATCAGCAGATATTAGTTAAATGAAGTCACTTTATTGTTTGATATTCTCAGTTACCTTACCAATCTTCATCTTAAAAGTTAGAAGTAATGAAACCGAGACAATTTTAATGGATGTTCTTCAATGTTTCAAATTTACTGCTGGATATATTCTCTTGGTGTGAGCCTGAACCAAACTCTTTAACTATACCTAAGGGCTAAGAGATCATGACTTCAAACAGAATGAGAAAAAAAGGTCCAGTCTATAGCATAGGTCTTTCTTTCCCCTGTTTCCTTTCAAAGGAGAGGCCTTGCAGATTCGTAAGTCCATGTATCATTGGATTTGAAATCAAACACTCTACCTTGAGCGGATAGGAATTGAGACTTTCAATGGTCTGCTTTTCTCTCCTCGTGATCGAAGTTGATCCCTTTACCACATAGAATGTGCTTTGGATGTAATGATGCAAATATGTTCAGTATATTATAAAACCAACATTAGTTTTTGAAATGATATTTTTCATACAGGTTAAAGCAGAAAAATACTCTCTAAGAGGGTGTTATGATTCTCTTGATAGCTCCCCAAGGTCACCAGAATACGATCAAGAAGAAGCAGGGAATTCTCTGGTAAGTACATTTTTATGTTTAACAGAAACAAAAATGGTGGTAAGAAGATAACCAATGATATCTTGCATAAAAATTGGATATCTGTTTTCTGCTCCATGTGAAGATTCTTTCGGAAAGCATTTGACTGTGACATTTTACGCATAAGTTTCAGAGAGTAACTAAGTTTTTCTTCATTTTTCTCTAGGAATTCAGTTCTGAGAACACAATTTCCCCCGGTAGTCCAGATGACATGCTTCTCAAGGACTTAAATCCATGTTTAACGCCTTATTCTGCCAAGACGAAGTCCAAGGTGAGTGTCTCATGAGCCAAAAAAAGCAGCACGACTTGATTACTGGCAGTTGTTTCTCATATAGAATCTTAAGTTGTTAGATTATGTTTTCAACGCACCCCTCATTGATTATTTAACGAGACAGGAAAGTGGAGTTTCTTTTCTATAATGGGGGACAATATGACATGAATTCAACACTTTTGCCAGCTTTGATACCATGTTAAAAGTGGGTGGTCATCTCATCTAAAAGCTTAAACTGTCAAATATGACACATTTTTATATACTTAAATCTTTTCAACCGTCATAGTTTGGAAAATTCGAATAAAGTACCTCTACCAGTATATTGCATAGTTTCTGAATTCACAATCATTTGAAGTTTTCAAGATTCATTTCAAAACATGATGTTCTATTCTTTTTACCAAAGTGAACTCTACTTTGATGCCTAATATGATCTATTTTAGGAATTTGAGTTCAATTCTCCTGATGACAAGAACTTGCTTAGAAACAATATACAAGTGTACCATGACACTAGCTACAGCTACAATTCTTGTGCAAGCAAAGTATCGAAAAGTTCAGGCTGTTGTCAAAGTTCAAAGGCAGCCAACAATTCAATTCGCGCAGCTCGTGGATCTGATGAAAGCAAATACACATACAGAAAGCAGATCCACAATATGTTCTAAGGTTATTATTGATCCTCAACAAGCATCTTTATAGCTTTGGTTTGATTAAGGCCACATTGAGATGAAATTAAATTGAAGAAACATGGTCAGTGAGTATTCATATAGCCGAATCCAACTTATTTAGGATTGAGGCACAAAGTTTTTTTTAAGGATTTTTGTTGCATTTTACAACTAAGATTATGTGATGCACTTATATATTTTGTTTACTTTACATTTATGTGCAAAATTTGGAGCTTTTTGAGCTTCAAAACCATATACATTGCTCATTAGTCAATAAAACACTTGTATGTACTCCCTTTGTTTCATTTTATTTTTTTTGTCGTAGTTTGTCTTGACATGAAGTTTAAGAATGTAGAGTTCTGAATCTCGTGATCCTAAGCTAGAGGCGTGTATAACACACCAAAGATATCGTTTTGAATCTTTCAGTCTTAAACATGTCATGTCAGTTCTATAAGGGTGTGCCATTAAAGGTTAAAATGATGAAATCCAAGAGTTATTGAATAGAAAGGCGACATTTTTATAAATTGTATTAAAAAGATCGTAAGACAAATACATTGAAATGAAGGCGATGTATTCCATATATTCCATCTATCTTGGTAGCAATCCACCATTAAGTGCCATCCTCACAACCTGGAAAATAACTGCCACATATCCAGACATTAAAAGATATGTTAGAACTTGGTTTTTTGGCATAATATATGTTTTCATTTTATGAAAGTATACAAATTATATACACTATCAATATATCAAAATTAAACGTTTCATCTATAAATAATAATAATATAATATAGTATACGTTAATCATTCAAAAAATATTATTTACACTTCATTGATTGATCTAGCCTTTTCTTCGTATGGATATAGTGAATCACATACTAAAAGGGCATCCTAGGCGACTTACTTGACTACTAAGGTTGTTGGCAGACTCTTTCATTAAGTAGGGGTAAACATGACAAATGCTTAAGAATATCCAATTAAATTTGAACAATATGCAATGATGTACCCAATGTAATCCCATATGCCATATATGGGGTCTGGAAAAGATATGGTGTATGCAGTCAATACTTTTGAAAAGCATTTCAAAGATATTTGAAAAAGGAAATATGGAAATGAAGAAGATATGGAAACCAAAAGGAAAGCAATACATAGCATTCAGACAAAAATGAATAGTAACAACAATGAAATAATGCAATAACCGAGGCACAAGAGTCAAGAAATATTGATGATAACAGAAAATCAATGACAAGAAACTACAAGAATAATGCTAATACCACCGTAAGAAAGCGAAAACAGACACAATGCTCCAAACAATTACCAGTCATATCTCATAGAAAAGCGAGACAACATTCACCTGCCTACTTATCTTTTATTATAATTCGCAACCTTCATACCCTTCTACGAAAAATATGATTAAACTTAATTAAGAATTAAAATGGTTTGAGGGATTAGGAAATTAGCTTACAAGATCCAATGAATAAAACAGCAAAGAGAACAAGAAAAATATGAATTGGCTCCAATCCTTTGTTGCCTCTTTGATTTTGCAATATTCCCCTCTTTGTTATGTTCTTTTCAAACTTAGCCACTTTCTTCTCTGCAACTCTTTTTGAAGTTGTCTACAAAATTTCACAAAATAAATAAATAAATTTTAAATTCTGAAATCGCCTGACTTCATTTTTTGACGGAGCCACATAGTATCATAAAATTATTATGTATATTGATCAAATATTACATATACATTAAATCATGAACAAAAGTGTGGAGCCACAAACTATTGAAGGGGATTCAATTTGAATCCCTTCTTTAAAATAATTACACATAAAAACAAATATTTTCATATATATTTATAATGACAAAGATAAATTAAAAAAATTGACATCACAAGTTCAAATATTTTGAATCCCCTATTAAAACTTCTAGTTCTGGTTCTGCTCTTCAATACTTTTAACGAAATTTCTAAATTCGCATGTATTTGATATTGAAAATGGAACACAAACCTCATTGTAATTATTACATTATTAAAGAAAATAATACTACAATTACATATAATAACTACATAATACTGAGAGGAAGGAAGATATTAGCTCTTACCATTGATGTGTTGCTTTGGTTGTAGTTAAAAGCACTATATATGAACTTTATACTAATTTGAAATATGATAATGAAGAAGAAAGAAGATGCCTTTAGTGTTGCAGTATTATACTCTCATTTTAACTTTAACTTGTCACGTTTCGCTTTTTGAGAGGCAAGGTGCATGTATTTTAATATGAGAAAAATTACAATTTATAACACGTTTCGTATAGTTTTCAAACATCTAATTTAAAATATTTAAAAATCTAATTAAAAATTTAATTTCAAAATTAATCAAATTGACTCTCATAAAATAAAACGTGATAAGTAAAAATAATAAAATGTGATAAGTAAAAGTGAGCCGTATGATGAGAGTATATTCTTTAATAAATGTGATAATAAATTAAAGTAGTTTCTTTTTTTATCCTTCAACATGAAATGTTGGAAGTGTAATTAATGAAAAACACAAGACTTGTCGGCAAAAAAGAAATTACTTCCTCCTGTCACGCTATAACTCACTTTCAAAACTAAATTAGATTATATTAATTTAATATTTTAAAATAAAAAATTAGATATAAAAAATTTATATGAAAATTACTATAAGTTATAATATTTTTCATATTAATATAATAAAGAAATACATTTAAAAGTATTATTCAAAAGTTCATATCGTTTAACTCTTAAAAAGAAAATTATGACAAGTAAGAAGAGCGGAATGAGTACTTTTTTTCTTTTGCTTAGATATATTTAGAAATAAACAATTTTAGAATAGTGAAAGAACATTTATTAATGATTCATATAATCGAGCTTCTCTTTGATTTGTTTTAATTATAATTTCAAATTATCGTTCAAGTAAAATATCGTTAGGGGTCAAAAGTAATATATCTGATGTAGTTCTATAGTAAGGATTTAAGGGTATGATATGTACATCGGTCTTATTTCTATCTTATAAAAATAAAAAAGTTATATATTTTCGATAGATCTTCAATTCCATTAAGGTAAAGAAATTTATTTTACACGCTTTCATAACCGTACTAATAATATTAAACCAAATGTCGGATGTAGGGTAAAGTTACCCAATTCTAAATTATAGTATAGGGACCAATTTAGCCCCCCTAAATAAGGGGAGAGACTAGGAAATGATGAATTAATTTGTCAAAGTTATTCCTCTGATTTTAAATTATTTATCGTGAATTTTCTTAGCTCAAATTATTATTATTTTAAAAGTTCATGACAAACTTATTTTTTTCTCGTTTTACACTTAACATTGATCGTTTTTGTAGACTACACACATTTCATAATGATAAATAAATAAATAAAAAAAATATTCGATGAAAATAATTATATTTTAAGACATTAATAAAATTAACATAGTCAAAAATTCCTCCTGATTAATGTTTAATTTGAGACGAAGAAAGTAAAATACATTCCTTACTAGTCACTAATGACTCATGCAAGCGATTTAATCTTCTTTAATATAAAATTAATCTTTATCATATAGTAATTGATTTGTAACTAGAAATTTATTTTAATACAAAATTGGTGGACTTGGTCATCATTTTAGATGACATAAGAATGATGACTTTTCATATATTAGATCATCATGACGCTCGTTCTAATTAAATAATAGAGTAGTAAATAATTAAGCATTTGACTGAATTGAAGACTTTATTAATTTAATTTGGGGTAGTTTATTGACTTTTCTTTTTTTTAATTTTGGACATACATGTTATTTGCAAATATTAAAGTGCTACTTGTAAATCAACATTTATCTTACTATATATAATAGTTTTATCCAGTATTTAATATTTAATATATAATTTATTTTTAAAAAAAAACAATAATGTGTAATAATAATTTAGTTGAAGAATATAATGTAAAATTAAAAGATGAGAGTTTTAATTAATTAGGTTTATACTTTATAGTGATGGAGAGCAAGGGCGGAGCTAAGGGATGCAAGGAGGAATCTCGTGATCGAAATATATATATATATATATATATATATATATATATATATATATATATATATAAATATTTCTATTATAGTAAAAAAGGCTTGTTCAACATGTGTGCTTAATGTCCATTATTTCAAATTTGAGGATGTTTTTGTCTTTTCAAAGTTTTATTGTAGCTTACGTGTCTTGTAGTTTCAAATTTGAGGGTGTTTTTGTCTTTTCATTGTTTTATTGTAGCTTACCGACAGATATTCTTTTATTTGGTGTGCTTAAGAATCCCAGTACCTCAAATATCATGGCATGCAATTCATTTTTTTTAAAATTATTTATGTTTTTGCATATATATGTTGGGGGATTTTAATTTAATTTTTATTGTTTATGTTATTTGTTGAATACAGAAATATTGATTCTTTTGGTCTTTGTTCATACTGTTTTGGTGATGAAATGAAAATTACATTCCATTTTGATTTAGTTAATCACATTCATTATTAACTTGTGAAATAATTCTTGTTGGACAGGAGAATCCATAAAGATATGCAGTTGTTCAGCATAGTGTTTTGGAATATAGAAATCAGAATGCCATCAACTCAAATACCTTTTGTTTCATAACTGTAGAAAATTAGATTGTATATGATTTAGTTACTCACATTAATGTTCCATGGTCATACATTATTTAGCATTGTGTTAATACAATTTGATATCTATCAAATCATAATATAAAAATTAGTTTCATACAAAAATTAGTTATTTAGATAATAAACATATAATGAAAAATGACTTTCCATCTCATAGTATTGTTCTATGTATAATAGTTGAATGGCTACACTTCATATGAAAAAAAGAAGAAAAGAAGGTTAATATCTACTCCCTCCGTCCCTTTTTAGTTGTCCACTTTAGAAATGACACACAGATTAAGGCAACAATGATTAGCACAGTGAAGTTACAATTTTACCCTTATGACAACTTTTCATTTCAAAATTACAACCACTTATTTGAATTAAAGTGAAATAAATTGGAGGGAAACAACATACACTTTTACAATTTTCAAGAAGTGTAAATAAGGGTATAATAGGAAAAAATTTGTTGTCCTTTCTTGATTTGTCAAAATGGACAACTAAATAGGGACAACCAAAAAAGGAAATATGGACAAGTAAATAGGGACGGAGGGAGTATGTGGTAGCTAGATTAAATGATTTCAGAGATGGAAAGGTGATATGACTATTATCAATCGAGAATTTCTCGATTCAAAGGTGATAT